GGAAGGTTGGGCAATCCTACTTCCATAGTGATAATGCCTCGGAAACCCAAGGAGGAGTCGCTATGAGTCGGGGCCGACTCGACAGCAAATAACAACAACACAACAACAACATAGTGTCCCCTTGTTCTGTTTGAATGACAGCCTCCTGGTCTATGTACAGGTTCCTCATGAGTACAATTAAGTGTTCTGGAATTCCCATTCTTCTCAGTGTTATCCATAATTTGTTATGATCCACACAATTGATTGTTTTTGCATAGTCAATATAAGACAAGTAAACATCTTTCTGGTATTCTTTGAGCCAAGATCCATCTGACACTCACAATGATATCCCTTGTTCCACGTCCTCTTCTGAATCCAGCTTGCATTTCTGTAAGTTCTCTGCAACATACTGCTGCAACTGTTTTTGAGTTATCTTCAGTAAGATTTTACTTGCATGCAATATTTATGATATTGTTTGATAATTTCCACATTCTTTGGGATCACCTTTCTTTGGAATGGGTACAGTTATGGATCTCTTTCAGTCAGTTGGCCAAGTAGCGATCTTCCAAATCTCTTGGCATAACCAAGTGAGTGTCTCCAGTGGGGCATCTGTTTGTTGGAACATCTCAATGGGTATTCGGTCAATTCCTGGAGCTTTGTTTTTCACCAATTCCTTCAGTGCAACTTCGACTTCTTCCTTCAATACCATTGGTTCTTGATCATATGCCACCTCCTGAAATGGATGAACATCATTTTTCCTCCAATCCTGACGCCACATTCTTCTTCATATAGCCCAACTTCTCAGTTTATTTGCTCAGCATACATATTGAATAAGTATGGTGAAAGGATACAGCCTTTTTGTACAATTCTTTTTGGTACAGTGACTCTATGTATTCCTTCCGTCTTCTTTTGATGTTTCCTACGTCATTCAATATACTACCCATAGAATCTTTCAGTATTGCAACTCAAGGCTTAATTTTTTCTTCAGTTCTTTCAGCTTGAGAGATGCTGAGCATGTTCTTCCCTTTTGCCTTTCCAACTCCATGTCTTTGCACATTTCATTACAATAATTGACTTTGCCTTCTCGAGCTGCCATTTGAAATCTTCTGTTCAGCTGTTTTATCTTGTCATTTCTTCCCTTTGCCTTAGCTACTCTCCACTCAAGGGCAAGTTTCAGAGTGTCTTCTGACATCCATTTTGGTCTTTTCTTCTTTTCTCATCTTTTTAATGACTCTTGCTTTCTTCATGGATGATGTTCTTAATGTCATCCCACAATTCCTCTGGTTTTTGGTCGTTTGTGTTCAACGCATCAAACCTATTCCTTAGATGGTCTCTAAATTCAGGAGGGATATATTCAAGGTCATATTTCAGCACTCGTGGACTTATTTTAATTGTCTCCAGCTTCAAGTTGAACTTGCGTATGAGCAGTTGATGGTCTGTTCCACAATCAGCTCCTGGACTAGTTTTGGCTGAAGATATTGAGCTTCTCTTGCCACAGATGTAGTCAGTCTGATTTCTGTATCCTCTGTCTGGCAAAGTCCACATATATAACCCCCATTTATGTTGTTGAAAAAAGGTATTTGCAGTGAATAAGTTGTTGGTCTTGCAAAATTTTATCAAGCGATATCTAGCATCATTTCTATCACCAAGGCCATATTTTCCAACTACCAGTGATTCTTCTTTGTCTCCAACTTTTGCATTCCAATCACCAGTGATAATTAACACATCTTGATTGCATGTTTGGTCAATTTCAGACTGCAGAAGTTGGTAAAAATCTTCAATTTCCTCATCTTTGGCTTTGGTGGTTGGTGCATAAATTTGAATAATAGTAGTATTAACTGGCCTTCCTTGTAGGTGTGTGGATATTATCCTATCATTGACAGCATTGTACTTCAGTATAGCTCTTGAAACATTCTTTGTGATGATGAATGCCACACCATACCTCTTCAATTTGTCATTTCCAGCATAGTAGATCATATGGCTGTCTGATTCAAAATGGCCAAAACCAGTCCACTGCAGCTCTCTAATGCCTAGGCTATCAGTCTTTATGTGTTCCATTTCATTTTTGACAATTTTCCTAGATTCATACTTAGTACATTCCATGTTCCAGTTATTAATAGATGTTTGCAGCTGTTTCTTCTCATTTTGAGTCATGCCACATCAGCAAATGGAGGTCCCAAATGCTTTACTTTATCCATATCATTAAGATCAGCTCTACTCTGATGAGGCAGCTCTTTCCCAGTTGTATTTTGAGTGCCTTCCGACCTGAGGGGTTTATCTTCTGGCACTATATTGGATAATGTTTCAAAAAGTTGTCTAGTAATACATCAGACAGTGTTTCATAGCTATTCATAAGGTTTCCACTGGCCAGTTCTTTGAGAAGTGGATGGCCTCTTTCTTCTTCCAAGTCTGTCTCAACCTGGAAGCTCTGCTGAAACCTGTCCACCATAGGAAATCCTGTTGGCATTTGAAACACCAGTGACACAGCCTCCAGCCTCATGGCAACACGCAAGCCACCACAGTATAACAAACTGACAGACAATTTCATCTTCCTGAGTTGTTCCAAACCGCTCCACTCACTTCCTGGCCTTTCGCCTGCCTGCTATGGCCATCAGCAGGCTCCCACTTCCTGCCTGTGGGCTCTCCCCTTACCTGTTCCAGCCATTGCCCCTGGCTCCTGCTTTAAATATTGATTATAACTAACCGTATTTCCCATATTGGAATTTAATCCCAGAAATGTTTAAAGTACTTGTGTATTATTAAACAAACCCATTGTGATAGTCTATTCCAACTCATTGCAACCCTGTTCTAATTCATGTAAAAATATAATAACCCATTGTATCTGAGTATAAACAACATTTTTTAATGTGCAATGTCATTTACAATTTGGAATCTGAAACCATATCAGTAGTGAACATTACCATTTTGTCTGTTTCATTAAAATCCATTGGTTTGTCTTATACTTTGAATATATTTTTTTTTACCCATTGCAAAAACGGCAAAGAGGCCACATGTTCCGACCTCCTCTAACCCTACAAGAGGAAGACAGGATTACCAGCAGTAACCCAAGGCCTATTCCTACAAGGCCAGACATGCTGCCTCCCTCCAGCCCTTTCACCAGCCGTTCCTCTCAAAGCACCCACCGCCTCTCTCCTGGGTTCGATAA